AAATAAATTAAAATAAAAAATATTAATTTTTTCCCTCAATTTTCTCAAACAATCCGTTTTGCTCCTTATTTTCGAATATATTTTCCGAAAAATATCAATTTTATTTACATTAAATTTACAAAATTGATGATAAAACCACAAAAAATGTCATATTAAATCAAAAAGTTGACATTTTAAAAACTTCATAACTCGGAAACCACTTCTATTCCAAAATTGAAATTTTCAGGGTTGTTTAAGGATATAATGAAGTATATTCCCTGAAAATTTCAAAAGATTTTGAGTTGAAAGAAAAAAGTTCTGGTTATCTGAAAATGGCGATTTTTCGAAAATCGATCGGCTTTAGATGGCCATAACTTAACGAAATAGAAGCAATCAAGTAAAAAGTGGGTAGATTTCTTCAGAGTATACCTGAACAAAAAATATCAGCTGCTGATCAACCCTCTACTTCGAAAACTGTAGATATGACAGCATTTCAAAAATAAGCAAAATTTCTCTAAAACAGTGGTTTAGTTAGCAGCTCACCGTGAAGCCGGACTTGAATATAAACCAATGACCAATTTTTTCCTTAAAAGTAGAGAGTTTACAGAAAAGAATGCGGCCTCAAACGAGTCTCTAAGTTATATAGAAGCTGAGATATAAATTTTTGAAGATGACTGAAAAATCGACTTTTTTCAAAATTAAAAAAATTCTCCAGCGGCCGGATTTGATCGAATCGGGTTCAAATTTTCAGGATCATCTCCTTTTCTAGTGTACTTTCGAGGAAAAAATCGGCATCAAAATCGGTGACCCACCCCCGCAACTTTTGGTCGAAAAGTAATGGATCTGCCCATATATATATATATATAAAATGTGCGAGGAACAGAATTTCGAAAAAAATTTAAAAAAAACAGAGTATATCCTGGCTGGGGTAATAAATTTAATAATTTAATTTAATAAAAATGAGACGCTTATACATAAGTATCAAAGATTATATCAATTTAGAAAAGACCAAATCCCATGGTCGAAACGTGACGATTAATCCGACCAAAACCAATGGTCGAATTGTCACTATATTGCCAAATGTTGTCGATTAAAAATAGAGTTTTTCTTGTTAATCACTTATTGGCGAAACAAACATATACTTTTCCGAGAAAATATTTTAGTTGCAAGAAAGTGCAAAATTGCATTTTCTTCAATAAAATTGTAAAAAATTTGTTGTAAAATTGTGTTTTTAACACAGATACACTTTTCTTGATTATGAATCTGTTTTTTTCTTATTTTGTTTTAGATTTTTTATTACTCCGGCTCACACAACTATTATAGTAAACGGAAAGAATTGCTTTCCTTCATTATCAATAACTTCTGTTATTATTAATATTTTTTAATCATTATTTTTTAAGATAATTATAAAAGAATATAGAATTATGTGCCATAGTTTCAAATACTCAAAGTTTTTTTATCTCTTAAACATCTAGCTTTAAAAAAGGTTTATTTTTTGTCTGTCAAAGTTGTCCTTAAACAGAACATGTGAGAATCTATTCTTTTCCATCAGATGCCTGTACGATTTATTTTGATGACAATTTTTGTTAAATACAATTTCGTGAAATATGAAATTGTTTTTACATTATATGTATTGACAGTGATAATTAAAGATATCGCTACTGTATTTTTAGACAAATATTCTGTGACAATTTTTTATTCAAAATCAATCAGATTATATTAATAAAAAGTGTATTAAAACTAACGTATATTAAAATTATTACATAAATTTGTTAATGAGCGAGATTTCGTGTTACGATAATTATTATTAGTTATTTTAATACGTACATTACGCGTTTTGTGAGACAGGCTTTATCCAAGTAAATGGATACATATTCTAAAAAAAACAAGATATGTGGAAAATTTGATTTTTATCTTTAAATTTTTTACTTTTGCGTAAAAATGCTTTTTAAACACGTCTTGTCTTTTCACTAAACTTTTTTAAACTTTGTTGAAGAAGGATGAAAGAGAAATGAGACCGAAACGAGTCCTCTGTGCGTTTAAATACTCGAAGGAGCAATTATTTGCCAAAATACGAATTGCATGGTTTTTACAGATGAAAAATTCAGGAACGCTAGACCAATTGATTGAATCTTCTCCGATTTTCTTCATCCTCCATTGCTTCCTTCCAATATCCTTTCATGTAGGAATATTTATTATATTCAGTTAACTTTGTCTAGAAATAAAGTTGTTGGAATCCTATTTTTAATTGTTATAAACCTATAAACTTATTTTTTATTATTTGTTACGAATAAATGTATTAAAATACCTCGTTGTCAAAAGTTGTAAAAAAATCTACAAAACTCACACGGCCCTACACAGAAAGAAAGAATTTTGCCGTTGCAACGAAACTGTCGTTGCTCATTCAATAAAAGCAATCAATTATTCGATTTTACGATAAAATCTATTTTTTTCTTAGAAACAGGGATAGAAAAATATTGATAAAAATTTATTCCTAAGATCACGAAGCTGCCAGAGTAAAATAAAATATTCACCTGACAAGTACATTTCGCTACTACAATAATTATTATCATTGTTTTATTGGCAGAATAAGCATTAAATTGTCTTTATTAGCGAAATAATCTATTGTTTCGGCAAAAAATATGTGTTCTTAGAAAATATTTTCGCATAGTAAATGACGGAATTTATTACAAAAATATGTGCTAGTAAATTTGTCTTCCGTGCAAGGCATCATAAACACTACTATGCGAAGCATGAGAAACATTATTTTATATGTTACATCTTTATTGTTATACATATAAATTAAAAGATGCCTTTTTTTATTTCAGAGAAAATTTTCTCTACGTTGGATGAGTCTGAGTAATTTCTTAAATACATAATTACAACATACAAAAATCGACCTTAATCGGATTTTTGCGTTACGTTTTGTTTCTTTCTTCCTTCATTTTCTCTCTCTTCCTTTCTACCTTTTATCGCCAATTATTGCTCCGTTGAAATGAAATATACACATATATAAATATGACTTTGCTACATAAACCAAATATTGATATAATTTTAAATAAACTATATGTAATATTTGTGAATTTTTTAATCAAAATTTATCTGATACATCTTATAAACTCGCGCGCGCGATATTTTCGGAAAATGCAATTCATAATTATATTTTATTTGGAAAATTTTTCCGTAGAAACAAAACTGATCGGACGCAAAAGCTAAATTAGCAATCTTCTCCTCCGTCGAATACTTCCAATATCATTTCACGTAGGAATATTTCATATTCAGTTCTTCTACAAATAAAGTTTTTGAAATTCTTTTCTTAATAATTATAAACCTATTAATTAATTATTATATAAACCTATAACTCCAAAATTTGAATTACGAAAAAGTTCAAAGAAAGAATAATTTATCTTCCTTGTCGATCGATTTGAACATTTCGCCAAATTAGACGTTAAAGTAACGCGAGCGCGTGTCATGTATATTTCTGCCGACAATGTGATTTTGACGCGCGTGATTTCGATCGATTCGAACAATTCAGTATTCGTTAATTGCGTTAATTAACGTGTCGTAATTGTGCTCGTAAAGTAATCAACGAGAAATCGAAATCAAACGAAACAACCAACGAAGTATGCGGTCGTCGAAGATTGAAGATTCCGTGAAAAATGCTGATGGAACAATGTCGAGAGCCGAATAGGAACACCGGGTACGGTGAGTATTGTACACACATTCTTAAGATGTTTTCCAGCATGACTCAGCTGGCAATTCGTCGAAATCAGTGCGATATTTCGTATAAGCGACAGATCTGATGTGTTTGAACAAGACATACGTAAGTCAGCTTTAAACTGTTACCAATTATACGTGTAAGGATGTAGATACGTTTTCTATACGTACATATGTTTCTTTGCTTTATTTTTATTTTACCTGCTGATAATATTAAATTAAATTTTACTTCTCACCAGATGCTTCATTTTTGGGAAACAAAATAATCGTAAAAATTTTTAAATTTTACCACTATTTTTAATATTCAAAATATGTTCAAAAACTATTATGTTCAAAAATTATTTTCGTATTACGGCAGTAAAATTGTCAGAATTTCCATGAAAAATTTCCCATTTTTATTTCTTGCGTAATCATACTTAAAAACACAATTTAGAGTTGAGAGTCATTTTTCATTAGTTAATCCTATGATTGAACATCTTACGGTACTCTTAGGTATACTTCCGGTATTTTAATCCTCTTGCTTCAAAGAATCACTGAAATTATATTTGAAGACTTGCTATAATGTTACTCTGTGCCGCAAACTGTCTTTCGTTGAATAATAGTGATAGTTGACGTAGCCCTACGTCTACTTTCCTTCGCTGAATACTTTAACATCAAATAGTGACAGTTGACGTAGTTCTACGTTGTTGTTTGCGGCACAGTTGTTACTGTGCCCGTTTTTGTTTCTCTTTATATCTTTATGAATACTTAGTAAAATAATGCCTATTTAGGTAAATAAAACCGTTACCCACAAATTGATCCAGAAAAATTACATATTTTTTTAAAATAGAAATTTCTTTTAATTTATAAAAATTTCATTATTTAAGTTATTATTACGTACGGAAAATTTATACTAAAATTTTGGACGACTCGTTGAAATTTTGAACACTTTAGACGACGCACGTTAGCTCGGAATTCCGAGCGTCAATGTAAATGTTTAGTTTATCTTACGATTATCGGACTGCCGTTGATAAGCTGAGGCCCAGATAGGGCCCAAAACTATGCTTCTAAAAGCTTCTAGAAGCTTCTAGAAAACCTCCCCCCCTGAGACGCGTAGAATGTGGTGAGAATCTCGCACGGGGGGTTCTGGCCATTTTCGGGTATAAATAGAGCGGAAAACGCCGCGAAGACACAGATACTTTTTAACTTCAGCTCTAACACATATTTTTTGACTTCGTTAGTCACATAGTCTTAGACTTCGGTTCTCAACTTAACTCTTATTCGTTTTGCGTATCACATCTATTTACTACAGTCCAAGACTTAAATCTGCAAAGATGCGTGCGTTAGCTTGTCTCGTATTTATCGCTCTGGCATACGCCGTTCAAGGTACGAATTTATAAATTATTATATATATATATATATATATATATATTTTACCATAATAAAAAAAACTGATATAGAGATAGATATAGAGAGAGGTACAACTACGTCTTTCTAATAATTCATATAGATAGTATAAAATAATTACTTTCCAACATAAGCAAAATTATCAGTAATAGCATAAATGTCCGTTTTATAGCATTTATAGTTTGTGTAAACATTTCTATACGCATATGTAATATATATATATATATATTTGGGTGTCATTTTGGAACAACTTTTTTTTTTAATATATATATATATATATATATATTAAAAACAATACAAAATTCATAAGAAGCAAAAACAAGTTTTATGAAATTTATCGAACTTTAACTTTGAATATCTTTTGAATGGTTAAATTTATGAAAAAATAATAAGAGATTTTTTTTGTAGAGCGGTAAATTTACTACAAAAATCTCTTGTGGAGCAATGCTGTATTACTGTTTGTTAGATAGTTATAAAATTTTTTTTATCTTACTAAAAGAAAAACAAAAAATTGCGACGAGCGACCTGTTAATATTAATATTAAAAGCTAAAACTTTAACAGGTATCTTATTTTACCTTCCTGCAAGTATATATGCTATTCGTGAAATAAAAAAAAAAAGTTGCTCTAAAATGACACCCTGATATAAACATATATATATATATAATCCTTCTAAAAATAATTAATTATATAAAAATATAGTACTTTTTACATCCTAAGTTTCAAATATCAATAACTTCAGTCTTCAATTAATTAATTATATAAACGGATATACAAAAATACATACGTGTCTCTGTATTCTCTAAATAACGTGTAACTTTAACGTTAAAAATTAATATAGCGTGAACGATGAAATTTTTGTTCAATAAAAGATTTTTATTCTAAATAAATAAGTAAATAAATCTGTAACTTTTCTGAGCATATTACGGCTCACTTAGCCGTAAAATGGACATAATGTTTTATTATAATATATTATTGTTAAAAGTGTATGTAGTAATGTAACAAATATTAATTTTGGCGTATATTAACATGATTAATTTATTTTTGTCAATAATCCGTTTCTTTATAAAGACGCTTCCGTCGGAAAATTTCCATATCAAGTTTCATTGAGATATGACGATAAACATGATTGCGGTGGATCTATCATCAATAAACGTAACATATTAACCGCAGCAAGTTGTGTCGACAGGTATGTTACGCATTCTAAATTTATGTCAATACTGTGAAATATAATTATAAAATTAGTCTTTTAATAAGTCAAATGGACATAATATGTGAAACTAAGTATACATACATATACATACTTATATATCTCTTTTTATCTCATTAGATTTAAAAACCTGGATAAGCTGGATAAGCTAAAAGCACATGTCGGAACAAACTTCTTGAACGAATCAGGAGATGTTTATGACATAGAAAGTGTTAGCATCCACGAAGATTACGACATAATTCGATGGTATTATATCGCCTTGGTTCATCTTAAAACTCCTATCTATTACAACGAGCTAGTGCAACCGATAAATCTTATGACAAGCGACGAGAATCTCAAGGACAAGTCGTGCACGTTAACCGGATGGGGATCAAAGGTAATATCGAACTCATAATATCGGAATTTTTTAGTTTAATATCAAAATAAGGCACTCTTTTCAAAAAAAAAAACTCATTATTTTTTTTTTATATACATATAATATAACAAATTGAAAGTAACAAGTAAGAAGATATGTAATAATTATTTATTGTTTGTTATTTCTTTCAAATGTCCAAATACGCATTTATATACTTTTTAGAATGCTGATGTATACTATGGCGAGAAGCTTTCGAATAATTTGCAAGAAATTGAGTTGAGTGTTTATCCGCAAGAAAATTGCGAGAGGTTATGGGATGCAGAAAATACTCAAATTTGTACTTGGACAAGAAAAGGAGCACAAGCGTGCAACGTAAACTGTCAATTATTAATATTATAAAACGAATTTATACACATATGTTTATTATGTTTTACAATACCGAAAGAATATTAATAATATAAAAAATTACATTAAGAGCATATATATCTAATAATATGCCAATTTTAATTATAGCTTAATACTAAAATTATTATAGCAACAATTTGCAATAGTAAACAATTTATTATTATTTATAATATTAATATTTTGTTATTAATAATCGCATCTTTATTTCAGGGTAATCATTATGATACTGGAAGCCCTTTAGTAGCCAATGGATTTCAAATTGGAATCGTCTCTTACTTTTTTCCTTGCGCAATGGGACTTCCAAACGTTCACACAAGAGTATCAAGTTTCCTTACATGGATCATGGCAAATTTAAAAAATTAAAAAAAAGATTGTTGAGGTAAAACTCTTTAATAATAAATGCCATTTGTATTTGGCGCTAGATGCGTTCTCACATCTCCACGTATTGAGATATCTAATGTTTATATAGGGTCCATTCCGTTTCACGCATATGCGCGCATTTTCTATGGTAAACGTTACGTATGCTATAGATAAATGCGCGCATATGCGTGAAACGGAACGAATCCAGTTTCGGTTTTCGTTACTGCTCACTCGCGCCAACTGTCGTCCTGTGCTTCTGCCTGTACGTCACACCGCTCACGCATATATTGTGTATAATTAAAACTACAAATATAATTATATTGACTGTTTTTATTATGTCTCTGTTAAAAACAACAACAAAGATATTATTTTATTTATTAACATACCACTTTGTTTTATATAATTTATAATTTAATTATTAATATATGTATTTTGAGCAAATTATTTCTGTAAAATTATATTACTTCCTGTTATAAGTATTTTCTGTTGCTTTTTCCATCAGTTAAATAAATTACCAATGCAAGTAACAAATCAATCGGTTTGATTTTTTTTCTATGTAAAAGCTAATATTCTTGTTTGTTATCTTACGCTAAACAATATCATATTAATTAGTTAGCACAAAATTCATAAGTGTACGTGGTATTGTTATAATTTATAATTACAAAAATAAATTCTGCACTTTTCTCAAACTTTAACACTAAAAAATGTAGTATTGTAATTATATATTTATCAATAAAATAACAATTTTCTTAACATGATAGACTATTGTAATTTATATCACTAAAGGCTAAGAAACCAAATATCGTGTCACAAATCTGAATTGCAGCTTCTGTTCTTTTTTTTTTGTATTTTCTTAAATGCTACCCAGACACTCATATTATTAGTAGAAAGGATGCCCTGATCATCAAGTTCCAATATTAAGAATCTCCGAAGAAATCTGGAAATCACTTCTGCAGCGGATTTACCATCAATCAGTATACCTTTTTACTGCCGCTCAATGTATATTTAAAGTACGTACTTCGATCATGTTTTATGTTATTTATACACTCGCATATAAATAAAATAAAATTCTTTTTGTAATACCGAAAGAAAGATGTTTAACTCTGGCTAGCACTTAGTTTCGAGTTTTTAATTCGCCACACTCCGATACGTGAGATTGCTCGACTTCGTCGCACTGTCATTTTCATTCTAATTAATAATATTAAGCGTGTACTGTATATAGAAATTAGAAATACAGACTCTGAATAAGATGTTTATGATAATATCAGGTCAAGAATAGTTATTTGTGTAACAAGTGTGGTAAGATGAAAATTTCCGGAGTTTACGCACGAGCCGAAAACGAGTGCGGTAACCGCACCCGGAAATTTTCATCTTTACACACGACTTACACTTCCTATTTTATGTTGCAAGTGCCTGGAAAGTGATTTATCACGCACGCGTAGCGTGCGTAATGGGGCACTTTCCATGCACGTGTTGCATAAAATGATTTAAATTTATGAATTTATTATAGGGAAACTAAAAAATTATGTAAAAATTAAAAAACCGAAAAACGTTTAGCGGTCCACACTGAACCGGAGTGTAGCGAGCTAGGATTAAAATTATCTGAAAAGCAAAAAGTACTCGACCAATACTTTATATGTCTCTTTAACAGCTACGAAAGAAAACCTGGCGCTCTGAGAGGTTTAACTATTCACGCTGATGCAAATCTGAGACTGACACCGTTTACAGAGTAAAACTAGCCACTTTCACCGTAATTTCGATTTTTTTCAATTAAACATTGGCTTACTTATTCTGTCAATTTTTATCGAATTCACTAAATATGTATAATACATACGCCCCCCCTCCCATACCACTTGCAACTACCAACGGTGTTCCCGCTGGTTCTGCCTGCACCTTATATCCGGATGGAGAAAAACCTCGGTAAGCACCAAACAATAATTATTTTATACAATAAAGCAGCTTCATCTTTATCTATTATTTATCAAATTTTAAAGTTTAATAAAATATGAAAGTTTTTGTTTTAAAATTATATTCCTTTGAACCAATAATAAGAAATAATTATTCTATTTCTGTGTTATGAGGGCAGTTTTCAGAGTAGCGTTTGTTAGCAACAAGTATGGGCGAAAGAAGATATAAAAAAAATTCAGTGAGTTGTAGGAGAACACAGAATTTGAATAGACAGAATTAGAACCGTCTTGGATTGAATAAAAAAAAGCGACAAGGGCAACTTAGAAGAATGAGATAATTATAAAGAGAAGGAAAATGGGAGAACAAGAGATGGTGGAATAGAAAAATGCCTAGACAGAAAAAGAGAATTAAAAAAAATACTCAGAAAAACATAAGATTCTAAAAGAATAATAAAATCAGCGGAAAAAGATATTATATCAGCGGAGATAGAAAGCCAGATAAAAAGGTTAAAAAAGAAAAAGACAGATAGAGAAGACGAAATAAAAAATAAGAAATAAAAAATAGTTACACTGTATAGTCAGGTATTGTAGTACAGTAAGGTACATTAATTCGTTGGGTCACAGTAACCTGGACTTACCGATCGCTGGATCGATAATGATTAACTCGGGCGCGGTTCATCGAAATATTAAAATGTATTAAGAAAAGCATAAGAGTTAATTAGATTTCTCTCTTAATTTTATTTTGCACTTTCTTGTTAGTTAGATTAATTACACAGGCCAAAAAAATTTTTTGTCAAGTAACTTCAACCAGAGTGGGTGTTTCGTATCTTCGGTCACAAAAAACAATACCGCATTCCAAATTGCTCCATCACGTCAGATCTTAAAATTATTTCGAATTTTTTAAATGGAAAATCAGCAATTTATAGAGAAAAAATGTGTAATAAATTACTAACCGTCAATAAAGTAATAAAAATGGATAAATGCTCGATTTATATATATATATATATATATATATATATATATATATATATATATATATATGTGTGTGTGTATTGCATTGATTCCTCCTTACATTGATTCCTTATTATAGCAAGGAATAATAAACTTTGTAGGCACGTGTAATTAATCGAACTAGTAAAAAAAGTGTAAGATAAAATAAAAAGAAAGATCTAGTTAATTCTTATGCTTCTCTTTATACATTTTATTATTTCGATGAACCGCGCCCGTATTAATCATTAACGACCCAGCGGTCGGTCAGTCAGGCTACTATTGTGACGCGCATTTTACTGATAAGGCATCTAAAATTTAATTTATTAGAAATCATTCAGAGAGCGAGACAGAGAGAATGTTTTCCGAGAAGTTAGAAAAAAGAAGTAATTGTACCTATAATAAAAAAAGGATATAAAAATAAAACAGCAAATTATTGAGAAATTTATGCTGCTTAACACAGCTAGCATATAAAATTTGCGTTATAATTTTTGTAGAATGATTTAAAGAAAAATAGAAAAAAAAAAGATTTTATCGGAAACGCGAACATGATTTCGAAGAGGCCGAGGGATGCGGACGAAATGAGGGAAAAATGCTGAAAAGCTTTACAAGATTTTTTGAAAGAATGACTTTATGTTTTGTATAACGAAATTCTTGAAAAAACATTTAAAAAAAGTCCATTATATTATAATACGCATATAAACGCGAATGTTATTTAAAATATCTATTAAAATAAATATAAATTTCGGATAACTTAATTGACCATTTTCAAGCACTTTTTATTTGAAAACTATTAAAGCCACAACATTTTGGTATTAAGAAATAAGTGCTACCTGCATTTTTGAATTTACGCATTAGAATGTAGTTTAAGTATTTTAAAAGCAAATTCCTCTTTTTATGACGCTAATCTCATTTAAGATAGAGATCCTAAAGCATCTCTTATAATTAGTTTTCTCACTTTATTCCGACTTTCAAAATGCGTTTTTTTCACAGATTTAGTACAATAATCGTATTTATTAAAGTATTTATTTCGAATTCTGCTGTGATTCCAAGAAGCGCGATCTCTATACAGAATTTATTGTGTCGATATAAATGTGGAGCGTATGTATGTACTCACCTATGCAACTCCGCGTTGATTAACGCGAAGTCGATTAATACGATTGCCACAAACAGCTGATACATGTTTCTTGAATTTCTCGGGGACTAAAGCTACAAAAATCAAGAAGGTTTTAAGGGCGTTATAACTTCGAATCAGTCCACAATTGGTATGCACAACAGACAAAGAATGTAGCAAACTTAGTGTTTCCGTCGCTGCTCATATACAGATGCGCGTGTACGTCCTTTGTCTTTAATATAATAACAAAGAGGAGGAGGGCGGTAAAGCGAACAAAAAGTTTTAAAAATTCTAACGCTTCTAATAACCCAATAGCTCTTTCACTAATTTAATCTGGATACACTTGCACTACTATAGTCTTCATATTGGAAATAGTAGTTGGTCGATCTCGTCAGATTTTAGAACGATCAAAAAGAGTATAAAAAACAAGCTAGAAGCTAGAATAAGATTTCGGGATAAATAAAATTTCAAAAATGTTAGCTTGGAATTAAGAAATCAATTTTACGTAGGATTTGCTCGAAACCTTTCTTTATAATATTAACGATAGTGAGATACCTAAACTAGTTTTGCAATATTATAACAATTCATTGATTAGAACACATATGACATGATAATTTTCGTATCGACAATTTGGTATTTATGTGTTGAAAATTTTAGACAATTTTTATTAATAAGCAAAAGATTTATGCGTATATACGTTTGTGTAAGCATAAGAAATGTAAAAAGTTATATATAT